GGACAGAGGAGCCTTGCGGGCTACAGACCATGGGGTTGCAAAAGAGCTGAATGCGACTTAGTGACTAAACAACAACAACTATAAACAACTCTCTGTGACTACATCTGAGTCTAGCTGGGGAGACGGGGAGGTATAGCCAGTACCAGGAGGTGGACACAGCAGGAGGCCCACGGAGGCTGAGGGAGCAGGAAGGTGCACCCCAGTCCCCCTGAGAGGGGCTAAATTATAATTTTCAAAAGTTAAACACAGCACTTTCACACATAAAATGGACATGTGTAAGTCATTGTTTCCAGCTCATTAATTAATGAGGGAGCTGATAAGATGTTAAGACCAGCTGAAAGGAAAATCTGAAAAGCAGCCATGTAGACAGGCAATCTGGAACGCCCGACCAAATTTGCTAACAGATGCAGAACTGGTCGATGGGGCAATAAAAGGTAATGTTTGAGGTCGTCCTTTCCAGATGAAAGAAGCCAATCCTGTCTGTGTCGGATGAGACCCATTTGCACCATTGTGAACAAGAACTATTTCCATTTTCTACAGCCCAATTTCTTCCCCATCTGAGCTGTAGAACAGCCTCTTCAAAAGAAAGACAAAGGTACGGATAACCCCCGTGGATGGGCTGCACCTGGCCCACCTAGTGTCTCCTGGCCCATTTGCAAGTCTTGGGCAATTTCTCTAGACAGGGGATTGTCTCGGTCTGTTCACACCTGCAGGACAGAGAGCGCCTCAAACCAGGGTGTTAGAATGACCCATGCAATGTCGAAAGATCTGGATCCCAGGCCACAGTCCAGACCCTTCAAAATCTGTATCTCTTGTCAGTGGTGCCTGGAGGCAGAATATTTATTGTTTACTTATTTGGCAGCACCAAGTCTTGGTTACAGCATCAGTTCAGTTCAGTTGCTAAGTCATGTCCAATTCTTTGCGACCCCATGGACTGTAGCACGCCAGGCCTCCCTGTCCATCACCAACTCCCAGAGTTTACTCAAACTCATGTCCATCGAGTAAGTGATGCCATCCAACCATCTCATCCTCTGTCGTCCTCTTCTCCTCCCGCCTTCAATCTTTCCCAGCATCAGGGTCTTTTCCAATGATCAGTTCTTTGAATCAGGTGGCCAAAGTATTGGAGTTTCAGCTTTAGCATCAGTCCTTCCAATGAATATTCAGTACTGATTTCCTTTAGGATGGACCGGTTGGATCTCTTTGCAGTCCAAGGGACTCTCAAGAGTCTTCTCCAACACCACAGTTCGAAAGCATCAATTCTTTGGCACTCAGCTTTTAGTCCAACTTTATAGTTGGACTTTACAGTCCAACTCTCACATCCATACATGACTGCTGGAAAAACTATAGCTTTAGCTAGAAGGACCTCTGTCTAGGGTAGAAATCAGGTCCCTGACTTTGAGAGCATGGAGTCTTAACCACTGGACCACCAGGGAAGTATAGAGAAGTCTCTTATTTATTTTTTTAATATTTTATTTATTTACGTTGGCCCCCTTGTGTGGCACGTGGGAATCTTAGCTTCCTGGCCAGGGATCGAACCTGGGTCCCCAGCATTGGCAGCATGGAGTCTTAACCACTGAACCACCAGGGAAGTCTGCATAGGGATCTTTAAAGCTCCAGGTGATTCAGAAGTGCAGCCAAAGTTGAGAACCACTGACCAGAGGACATCCAAGCAGGAGCTACGAGCTAGCAGCTCACCTCCCACTCCCAACCCCTCCTCACCCCCTCCCAGCCTCATCCTCTGCCCTAGCCTGCCCATCCCTCCTCTCCTTTCCCCAGGCCTGGCATTGTGCCTCGGGGGCCGGTCACCCCTACCGCCATGCAGAGAGGGCCGAGGACACCTCCCCTTCCAAAGCCCCCTCCACTGGAGGTTAATCCCAGGAGACAGCCTCTTGAAAGTGTTTTGCTCCTGAACACAGAAGTAACCACAGCATGAAAGCAGCAAATGAGAAGAAATCTATCATCCTTAGGAAATTGGTTCCGGCCGCCCCGCAGAGTCACAGCAATCAGAGGGGCCCTTCAAGTGCCGGGCGAAATGAGTAGGTTTGTTTTTTTTCTTTTCCCTGAGGTTGTAACTCATTTTTTTTCTTTTTTTTTCCATTTATTTTTATTAGTTGGAGGCTAATTACTTTACAATATTGTAGTGGTTTTTGCCATACATTGACATGAATCATCCATGGATTTACATGTGTTCCCCATCCTGAGCCCCCTCCCAATGAGTAGGTTTAATAGTGATGCACCAGCTGTCTCCAGGAACTTGTAAGCACGAGGTGGGTGGGCTGTGGGGCTGCCCCTACCTCTCTGGCAAGGGCTTAGATCGGGCACTTGGGGGCCTCAGTCCCCAGCAGGTCCTTTCACAAAAAGCAGGATGGAGCCGATCTCCTTTGAGACTTCAGATATGTTTTCAGCCAAGCTCGCGTCCCATCCTGGAAAGCAACCTGGGGAGGCTGACTGGGAGGGCAGGGCTGGCCTTGACTGGAACTGGCCAGCTTTCCTGGCAGCCAGAAAGAACCCTGAGTGAGCTGACCAGCCAGAGGATGGAAGGGGAGAGCAATGGCTGGTTGGGAGTCCTGCCCCTGGAATGACCTTGAAGACATCCCAGATCCCCGCAGACCGTGGGGGCGGTCAGGCAGTTGGGGATGCCCACTAGCATTTATCCAGTGACCTCGGGCAAGCCTGAGCCTCTAAAAGAGCAGCACAGTAACACTTAGGCCCTGAGGTCGTGCTGAAGATCATATGACACCAAAGACAGGAAAGCCAGCCTCCACAGTGTGATCTCCCTCCCTCCCTCCCTGGACATCTGAGAATCAGGGCAAAGGCTTGACTCGCCTGCAGGTCTCAGGCGTGCCCCTTCCGTGGTGGCAGCCACACATGACCACTGAGACTCAGAGTGGGGCTGGGGTAAACCTAGACGAGCCATGAGTGTAAAATACACACTGGGTTCTGAAGATCCAGTTTTTTTAAAAAACAAAATGTCTAATAATTTTTGTATGATTGCATGTTGAAACTATTTTTGGCACGTGTGTGTGCATGCATGCCAAGTAGCTTAAGTTGTGTCCAACTTTTTGCAACCCCATAGACAGAGGAGACACTAGGCTCCCCTGTCCATACCATTCCCCAGGCAAGAATACTGGAGTGGGGTGCCATGCCCTCCTCCAGGGGATCTTCCTGACCCAGGGATCGAACCCAAGTCTCTTATGTCTCCTGCATTGGCAGGCAGGTTCGTTACCACTAGCGCCAACTGGGAAGCCCATGGTTGGCATAATGAGGTTAAGTAAACTATCACAAGTAATTTCACGTTTCACTTTTTTGACATGGCTATCACCAATCTAAAATTTTTTGTGTGGCTTGCCTTACCTCCAGTGCTGTGAAGGGCCCTCAGGGCCACCATGGGACTCTGCTCTGGCCCCAGCCCCTCCGTATGTCCTGCCAGCTGCCATGGCTGCTGAGCCCCGGGCTGACTCCATGAAGCCCACACGACACGGTGGACCGTAAGGCGCCACCAACTGTAATCCAACACACCTGGGCGCCTCTGCCCCACCTCGCCTCCCCCCACCCCCAGGCCACCTTCCCTGCATGTGCAAGCAATTCTTCAGGAACGGCAGGCCACACTCTGCCCCATCTTCGCTTAGGCAGACTTTGCGAATGGCCCTGGGGACTGAAAGGCCTGTTTTCCAAGAGGTTTCCACTCCTGAGGACTCAGAACTTCCTGGCCCTTGCTCTGGACATTGTGTTAACACTGGTGGTACCTTCCCAGCCCCACGCCAACTTCCTCTCACAGGGCTGTGCAGAGGCTTTTGCCTTGGTTGGGGTTGCCAGATAAAATACAGAATACCTTGTGAAATCCGAATTCCAAACCAACAGAATTTTTTTAAGTCTTAGCATATCCCATGCAATATTTAGTATATACTAAAAAAAGAAAAAAAAAATTTCATTTATCTGAAATTCAAACTTAACTAGGGCAGCCTGATTTGCTAAACTCAGCAGCCCTGCTTGGAGTTAAGTCTCTGGAGTGGGGTTTGGGCATTTAGTGTTAACAGCATCCACCCTGGGTTCAGGGTCTGCCTCTGCCAGTTCTGCATCCCTAACCTCAAGGCCTCAGTTCTCTCATCTGTACAATGGAGATGACAATCAGGGTCCCCACTTCACATGACTGACTGTCGTGGGATGAGATGAGATCAGCCCCAGGAAACCTGGCCTGTCCGAAGTACTCCCCTGCTGTGAGGGAGGAGACACGGGCGGGCCAAGGCACAGCCGTCAAAGCCAGGGCAGGAGGCTCTCCTCCCCGCAGAGGAGGTGTGCTGGGGGTTCAGGCAGAGGTGCACACTGCCCACGACACTGCAGCATTCCAGCTCTGGGACCCCCAGGACCCCAAGGGGAAGGGTTCTGCTGGGAGGGTTCAGAAAGCAGCCTTTGTCTGCTGAACCCTGGGGCTTCCCGAGCCCCCTGACCTCGGAGTGAGGACAGACAGGGCCACTCAGAGACGTGACAGAGCTTTGCGAGGTTCTCCTGGGCCTCTCTGGACCACCACACTGCAAGAGATGGGCAGAAATCACCCAGCTAAGCATCAGGCAACCCGCCAAGCACTCCCGGGCTTGTCTCCTCCTCTGGATCGTGACTTCTGCAAGCCATGTGGGGACAGAGGTGGTGACACAGGGGGTAGGCTTGACAAGGCCAGTGGAGCAGGCTCTGGAGGGCCTTGAATGCCACGTTAACTCTACAGAACTCACGTTAACAATGCGTGTATCACAAATGTTTGCCTGGGCCTGGAGTCAGGTGCACAACCACTGACAAGCAGGCCAGAGATTACAGCTTGGCCTGGACTGGGGACCTTTCTAAACTGCAAAAAAACTTACGACCACAACAGAAGGATGGCCTGACAGTCTGCGGATGGCATTACCACCATCACAGCTCAGAACACAGGCTGGTTTTCCTTCTCCACATCAACAGAGGGAGAAATATTCAAAGACACTGGGACTCGGGAGAATTCTCTGCTGGGAAGTATGGCCCCATCCAGTGCCAGTAAAGCCTCCAAGGTCTGGAACACAAAGCCCCCAGGCCCTGCGATGTGTATGCACCCTGGGTGTGAGCTAGGGGTGGGGGTTCCTCGCCTGCTGAGAAGCCTGGGTGAGAGTGGGGTGCTCAGGGACGAAGTCACAGGTCCAGGGCACCAGCAGCACGGAGGGCGTGTAACCCTGAGTTACTCTTTGGTCGGAAACTGAGCTGCCCACTGTGCCCCCTGGAGGCCAAGGGCACACACTCAGCAGGTGGTCACTGAGCGCAGAAGCCGCGACATGTATGTAAAGTCTCCTTGGGGTCTGACTCCTTTCATTTATATTCATTCAAAACAGGATCTTAAGCAGGTCAGCATTCAAAAATTATGTAGATAAGAATGAAATCAAACAAACTCAGAAAGTGCTAAAACACAACTACTATATTTCAGGCACAGAGAACCAGGCAGAAACAAACTCAGCAGGTTTTCACTCGGCAAGCACACGCCTCTTGCAGTGAACTCACCTGCAAAGAAAGTACAGTACATCAGTTCTTCGTTCAACTTCAGCAAGTCTGAATATTCAGGGGATTTAAAACTGTTTTAACACAATAAAAAACCCTTCAAAACCTAAAATCTACCTTCCACCCAGAACACGATGTGGCTGGTGCCCACCCTGCAGTGACCCAGTGTCCCCCCTCCTTCCAAGTCTACAGGCTCCATCCCAGTGACTTCCTAACAACCCCCACCACCACCCCAAGCACACTTGGGCATCCACCCACCGCCACGTGGGACCCTCAGAAGCTTGCCCATAGCAGGCACAGTAAACCACCATCTGACAAAGCTTCCCACAACTCAATACCAGCCCGTCTATCCCTACATTCTCCTCCCGTTCTCTCTCACTGTGTAGACCCCCAGTTTGGCCCCAACTCTTGAGCTCCCCAACCCTCTCACTTTCACACTTCCCACCTTCTGTCACATTTCATCAGCTGGAAACGGCCTTCACTTCCTCATAGGGTTACATCCTGCCAGGTCCCACTGAAAACTCACATTCTTGGGGTCCAGCACTTTCTGCTGTCTACCTCTCTGCACCCCAAACCCCAGAACACCAGGGACCACGCTTTTCTTGACGTTCCCTCCAAAGCAGAGGCATGACGCTTTGACTGCTGTAGGTACTTCAACGTGATGAAGGATCGCGTCTCCATCAGTGTGCTGACAGCAAAACAGGCAAAGACAGGAGGAATGATGCTTCACGGAGTAGGCTGAAGCACACCAAGAAAATAAAAATGAAAAGCAGTTCCACTGGTAGTTTACTGTGTGAGATCCCCAGGAAAGACCAACAGGAAGATTCTCTCCAAGTGGAACTCATCTTGGCCTCTGTCCAGGAAGTGAAAGGGTTCGGGTGTCACGATTCCAGTAAGGGTGGCACTGCCCTTCCAGTAATGTCTTAGACCTGCACTATTCCACGCAGCAGCCACTAGGTACACATGGCCATTTATGTTTAAATTAAAATTTCAGGGACTTCCCTGGTGGTCCAGTGGTTAAGAATCCACCTGCCAATGCAGGGGACACAGGTTCCATCCTTGGTCCAAGAAGAGTCCCACATGCCACGGACCAGCTAAGCCCAGGCGCCACAACAAAGACCCCGTGCAGCCAAAAAATAAAAATAAAACAAAATGTCACTTCAGGATCATGGCCGCCCTACTGGACAGCACAGATATAGACCATTTCCAGCATCACAGAGAGTTCTGTCTGACGGCCGCTCTGTGCACAGGACTCTTGAAATTACAGTTTTTAGCACATCATCTTTGTCAAAGCTGAAACTCCAACACTTTGGCCACCTGATGCGAAGAACTGGCTCATGGGAAAAGACCCTGATGCTGGGAAAGATTAAGGGCAGGAGGAGAAGGGGACCACAGAGGATAAGATGGTTGGATGGCATCACTGACTCAATGGACATGGGTTTGGGTGGACTCTGGGAGTTGGTGATGGACAGGGAGGCCTGGCATGCTGCAGTTCATGGGGTTGCAAAGAGTTGGACACGATGAGCGACTGAACTGAACTGAGCACATCATCTTGTTTAAAACCCACACTGACCTCCTAATATTCTCAGGACAAAGCCCCAAATCCTCACATGAGCCACAGCGCTGTGTAGCCTGTCCCTCCCCCACCTTTTCAGCTTCTTTTCACACCATTTTCCACTTTACGTTCTGGGCTACAGTGGCCTTTTTCTCAGTTCCTCCACTAGCCACACTAGCTAGGCCACTGGGCCTTTGTACATGCTGCCCCCTGGCCTTCCCACCAAACTCCTATGCATCCTTCAGAGCCCACTCAAGGGTCTCATCCTCAGGAAAGCTTTCCAGTCTCCATCAGGTTCTTTGAGACACACATTCTTGTAAGACTGTGCTTTCCTTCAGAGCATTAATGTCAGCTTGAATTACACTCTCTTTAGGGTTATTTCCCCAAATAGGTTGTAGTTTCCTGAGAACAAGGTCTGTAACATCTCTGTGTCCCTAACACTGAGCATGGTGCCTGCTCAAAGTATCATAAAATATTGAATAAAACAAATATACATGAACACTGTTTATAGGTTTTCTTCTTTCAGCGAACGTTCTGTTTGCAGTATCATACATGATCATCAAACTGCTGCTAGAATGCTCACACCTGTTACTGCAAATTCAAAACCCAGGAAAAAGTTCTCCTAGGAATTTACTTTAGGTCAGGGTCGGGCTACCTGGTACAACGTTGCACCCACAACTGGGCAGGTTCAACAACACAGGAGCCTCTCCCCAGACCATCGGCCTCAGGACCCTACGTCTCCACCCTTAACCTACCTGGAGTCCCCCAAACTGACGTCACTCCGAATATGCTCTAGGCTCACCGCAGAGAAGCAAAGATTGCAATGCCTTCATCCAATCGCCGGGGGCCAGAGAGCGTTCATCTTCTGATAAAGCCCTGGGGAAAGAGATGAACACCATGTGCTCTAGGAGGATAAGTTTCGTGGCTGTTTACATCCCACCCCCACTAAAACTCATGCTGGCTTTCCAGCCCGGGATCCAAGACTTTTCTAAGGGGTGCAGCGCCTCCTACTGCAGCCCCTCACCCCGATCCTGGTGCCTGCTTTTGGCCTCTTCCGTCCAAGGCCCAATTTCTATGCTGGGAGTGATTCCGAAGTCCGGTTGCCGGGAGCTTCGTCAGCGCCCCAGGGCGGGAACTGGCGCCGCGGACCAGCGTCATTCTGCGGGTTTGGGGTTCGGCCAGCGGGTGGGAGCGAGCGAGCACAGCCCCTCTAACACCACAGAACACGTGGCGTCCCTGCCTTCCCAATCTAGAGTGAAAAGCAGGTCTGAACACGCACTTCCGGCCGTAAGGGACGGCTTACCACAGAGACGGCAGCTAGACGATCTCCTTAGCTCTGAAACTGGGTCCTCCATGGCCGCCTTAAAGGGGCCGCAGCCTCGAGATGTTGGAGAGGAGCGCCCTAGCTTGGAGGGGAAGTCTCTAGAGCAAGGGAAGCAGGAGGCCAGCTAGGTTTCCGGAATGGAGCCGCATCCCGAGGCAGGGGATAGGTACAATGATCACTCCTGTTTTCCAGGGGAAAAGAGCCAAGCTGCAGAGGTGAATTACTCTCTCAAGTTTGGCCAGCCAGGAAGCCATTGGCCCTCTCTGTGTCCACAACTGGGCGGTTCAACAACACAACAGCCTCTTCCCAGACCATCAGCCTCAGGACACTGTGTCTCCTCCCTAAACCTACGTGGAACCCCCCAAACCGACGTCACTCCGAATATGCTGAAACCAGCAATCTTGGAATCTGCCTTTAGGCAGGCGGGCACTCTGGTTAGCCACAGGCCCCCTCCACTCCCTACTGTTTAACACCAGTTGTTCACATTTATAGCACCTGCGGCCCCAGGAGGGTGCTTGAATTTGTGACTTGGGGTCTCCAGGCTAAAACCCCCAATTTATTGGCATTCAGATCCTTCAGAATCTAGCCTTGTTTGCCACCACTCTCTCCCTTCCTCAATTACAGGGAACTTCTCACCATGCCCCCTCAACTCCCAGCTCCTCCAGCCTCATCTTCCCGCAAGGCTTGAAGGACAGGGTTTGTTTTTGCACGTGTAGTTCCTCACAGAGCCCGCACCTGCCTGCTGCCCACTGCAGGTGCTGAGTGACGTGGGAGGAGGTGAGGCAAGCGGTCAGACTGTTTCGCTACTTACCACGTGGTTTAACCTCATGGGTCTCTTGTTTCTCTGTATGTGACATAAAAAGGCTGCAGCAGTTCCCAGCCTTCATTTATTAGTAAACATCTGTTTTTAGATGCAATATTTTTCAGAAATCCAGTAGTTAATACAGATAAACTTTTTAAAACTCAACAACAGAGACAAAACAAAAAAAATACCAACCATTTAAAAATGGACAAATAATTCAAACTTATCTCCAGGGAAGACATTCAAATGGCTGATAATCACATGAAAAGATGGTCAACGTTGGGACTTCCCTGGTGGTCCAGTGGTTGGGAATCCATCTGCCAATGCCAGAGATATGGATTCAATCCCTGGTCCAGGAAGATCCCATGTGCCTCAGAGCAACTAAGCCTGTGTGCCACAAGTACTGAGCCCACTCTCTAGAGCCCTTATGCCACAACTAAGGAAGCCCCAGCACTCAGGGGCCCGTGCTCCACAACAAGAGAAGCCGCCACAATGAGAAGCCTGTGCACTGCAAGGAAGCGTAGCCCGTGCTTGCTGCAACTAGAGAAAGCTGTGTGACACAACAAAGATCCAGCGCAGCCAAAAATAAGTAAATGGATAGTTTAAAAAAAAAAAAAAAAAGATGGTCAGCATCTTTAGTCATCAGGGGAATACACATCAAAACCACGACGAGATTCCATTCATATCTAGTAGGATGGCTAGAAGCAAAAAATCTGAAAATGAGAACTGATGGGGAAGAACACGAGAGAGCCCAGAGGGAGAAGCCAGATGACAATCAGGAGCTCAGTGTGGCTCTTTCCCTGGTGGCTTTCCTGGTGGGGGCGCCTGGTAATTTTCCTGGAGAAATGCCTGGGATGGGAGGGAGTGTGCCTAGAATAGCAGGAATGCCTGGGCTCAATGGAATTTTTAGTGATCCAGAGATTTTCTTGCAGCCATGCAGGATCCAGAAGTTACTGTGACCTTCCGGGATGTGGCCCAGAACCCGGCAAAGATGTCGAAAGCAACCCAAAGGTTATGAATCTCATCGGTAAATTGTCAGCCAAATTTGGAGGTCAAGCATAAAGCCCTTCTTTTCAGTTTATCTTTTGGGGCCTTTTTGTTTGTTTGTTTTCTCTGGGCATCATGCCCTTCTGACAAAAAAAAGCCCCTTCTGAAGGAAAAGCAACTTAGATCACCTAATGGATGTCACAATAATACGAACTAGCTTATCTCCGATCTTCTTATGAAGAAAGCTGAGGTACTTTGAAGATAATTTTACTCCTCTGCCCCAAATGCAACTGAAACATTCTTACAGTGGTTTGCCATTAGGGTGTTCATCAGATAATGTTTTCCTACTAGAAATTAAAAACTTTAAACAGTTTTAAAAACTTAAACATATTTATAACAAAATTTTTAAAGAATAAATAATAATAAAGAATATGAACGTGTGGGAAAAAGAAACTAGATAAAGTAGGAGAAGCTCTAGGGGAACCAAGACAGCCCCGTGAGGCCTTGAGCTGGCCTGTTTCCAGAGGTTTCCCATAAATTCTGTGGACTCCAGGTACCTCAGACGGTATAGAATCTGCCTGCAAGGCAGGAGACCCAGGTTCAACCCCTGGGTCAGGAGGATCCCTGGAGAAGGGAATGGCTACCCACTCCAGTATTCTTGCCTGGAGAATCCCATGGACAGAGGAGCCTGGCGGAACAGGCCATGGGGTTGTAAAGAGTTGGACAGGACTGAGCAACTAACACTTTCGCAGCCCAGAAAACCAGAGGGTGCCACTATGGGACACCCCCAGGACCCTTCCAGCTCTCAGGTCCCGGATCTCAGAGTGAAAGGGAGCCCTCCGTAGAGTCATACACACACCCCGGCCTTGGGGGAAGTTACGGTTTAGGGGAAAGATTTGCATGAAACCCAATGCTAGAAACCTAAAGGGGACTAGAGTTCCCGGGAACGACTAGTGACATGTAACTGTCCAGATCATTCTGCGTTATTCCCAGGGAGACAGGACAGAGGGTCCTCCAGTGGAACAGTCTCTAGAACACTGGACATTAAACAAAGATGTCTTTGTGTCCTGTCCTGTTTCCATCTGCTGAAACTCTACCTGGATGTGGGGTCTTTTTTTAATATACAATTTTATTTATTTGTATCTATTCTTTCCTATACTGGCTCTTCGTTGCTGCGCAGGCTTTTCTCTAGCGGCGAGCGGGGGCTCCTCTTTGCTCCAGTGCATGGGCTGCTCACTGGTGGCTTCTCGTTGCAGAGCACGGGCTCCAGGCACTTGGGCTTCAGTAGCTGCAGCGCTTGGGCTGAGTAATTGTGATTCCAAGGCTCCAGTGCACAGGCCCAATAGTTGTGGCACGTGGGCTTAGTTGATCCACGGCATGTGGGATCTTCCCAGGCAGGGATGGAACCTGTGTCTCTTATATTGGCAGGCGGATTTTTCACCACGGTGCCACCAGGAAGCCCCTGGATGTGGGTTCTTCACACTGACCCTTCGGCCTTTGTCTATGACTGCACCTCAAAACAACAGTCTGAATGTTTTCTTTTCCTTTTTAACCATGTTGTGTGGCTTGCAGGATCTTAGTTCCCTGACCAGGGATCGAATCTGAATCCTGGCAGTGAGAGTGAGACAGGAGCCAGGCCCCAGGGTGAGCAGCTGGAACGTGTCCCCTTCAGACAGCAGAAGAGGAGGCTGGGCCCCGCCCCAGATGAGAGATAAAAGGCCGCACATTCCTCATTCCTGAAGTCGAGGAGACCTCCCTGACTGCACATGCTCAGAAAGGCTCCTTAGAGGTCAAAGAGGGAGAAGGGCGCTTCCGCACAGTAAGTGATGCTAACCCACCCGTGGGCCTCTTTGCTAGAATCCGTCTTGGTTGAGAGGTGCACGCACATGAGAGGACCCTGAGATATGCCAAACACAGACCTGGAGAAGCACGATGGTTAGCCAAAGGGAACCTGGAAGAGATGCTGCGTAAAAGTGATTCAAACTACCGCAAGGGGCGACTCTCTCTGAGCCTGCCAGTGTGGCTATCCACATGTACTCTTTTTCCTCCTAATAAACACTTTACAGTTTCATTACTTTCTTTGTGGGAATTTATTTCTGCCAAGCCATACAGGCCAGGGCCTTGTCACTGGCCACTGGTTCCTTGTGTGTGTGTGTGTGTGTGTGTGTGTGTGAGTCGCTCAGTTGTGCGACTCTTTGTGATCCTATGGACTGTAGCCCGCCAGGCTCCTCTCCATGGGATTCTCCAGAGAAGAATATTGGAATAGGTAGCCATTCCCTTCTCCAGGGGATCTTCCTGACCCAGGGATTGAACCCCAGTCTCCTGCACTGCAGGTGACTCTTTACCATCTGAGCCACCACGGAAGCCCTCCTGGTGGCCTAGTGGCTAGGATTCAGGGCTCTCATTTCTGTGGCCTGACTTCAGTCTCTGGCTGGGAATTGAAAAACCCTGTTTCAAGCCGCTGCAGGCTGAGGCCACCCAAGATCAAAAGTGCTGAGTCCTAACCACTGGACTGCCGAGGGATTCCCACGGCATCAGTCTTCATTAGTTCTCCTACACGACGAGTGTGCTGGGCACCTGAGTGGGTGGTGGAGGGAACCTTCCAACCCACGGGAGGAGACTCGTGAGAATACTTCGTGTAGCTGATGGCACATCTGCATGTGGCTCCTGGAATGTCCCCCAGCTGTCTCCTGATCACTCTGTTCCAGCCCCTTTGTGGGGTTGGTCTCCACTGGTCGAGGCATGGTGACAGTGCACTTATTTTCCCCAAAGTATACATGTGTGTGTATATAATAGGTTGCTACGTCCTATGGATGAGCCTTACCATTTATGACGTTTGTTCCTCTGGATTATGTAAGAGGGTTGAAGCAGGCAGGACTCCAGTCTTTCAGAAAACATGCTACTTTAATAGGTGTTGTTTAGTCATTAAGTCATGTCTCCTTTGAGACCCCCATGGACGTAGCCCACCAGGCTCCTCTGTCCATGGGATTTCCCAGACCAGAATACTGGAGTGAATTGCCTTTTTCCTCCTCCAAAGGATCTTCCTGACCCAAGGATTGAATAATAGTAGCAGTGCATAATTAAACATGTGGTCTCTAAGAAGTCATTTTTCTTATGTTAAAGATGGCGCTGGGACCCAAAAGGACTATAGCAGAAAACAATAAAAAATGAGCTAAAGAGTTCTATCAAGTCAAGATTTTGAGCTGCTTTCTTTGTCCACTAGAGGGTGGGATCATACACCAGACTGCTCTCTTTTGTAATTTGGTAGAGTATTTTTGGATTCTGTGGGAGTTTCTTTGTTTTGTTTATTTATTTACTTTATTTTGGGGGTTGGTGGGG